TTATCTTCCTCTCCCGATTATCCCGTATTAAATTCTCAAGAAGTGTTGTGCATGTACAAGTGCAATTACCATTGCTCTCCCAGTGATACATTAAAATGGTCAGCCAGGATTCATTAAATTTTTCGAGTCGAAGGAATGAACAAGTTGATGAATAAATCGAATTGCTATCGAATTGCTATCGAATTGCTATCGAATTGCTATCGAATTGCTATCGAACTCACCATCGAACTCGCCATCGATCGATCTGCTATAACGATGAATTCCAATGAATCCATTCCTTGTATATCCTGTCAATTACCGTTTCTATTCTTCGGAAAAGTAGAGTGAAGTGGATGCATTCACCCCGGGGATTACGTGACATGCATTATTTTGTGGGACTTCTGCACGGAAGCGACTTAATGCTGCATGCAGCGCTGCACGGGCTCGCTCATACCATTTGCCTGAGATATTTCTCTCGCGGGTGGCATATAATCGACTTCGCTGGTTGACTCGATCCGGAAACCATGATTAGCCACATTCCAATCGTACCCATGGACAACGAACCAATTTCTTTTTGCCCTCGAGGTTTCCAATAAAAATTATTTTTTTTTTCTTCCACTGGCTTTTTTCAATTACCTTCTACACTTTCTTTGTACCAACAGGCAGCACCAGCCATGAACTTATTATTTTTTATTCGTCGATGATAATGACCTATTTTTGGTAAAACAAATCGCGAGTTCTATCGGCGAAAACCATTTTGCGCTTTTCTATTAGTCATTTGTACAGTTCGTTTTAGAGACAAGATGCTATTTTGTGGGAGATATTAGTGCACACTGAAATCCGGAAAATTGTTATACTCCATTTTATTTCTAGATGCGGAAGTCGGCTTTAATGCACACGGCAATCTGCGGACATTAAACTCGGATCGTAAACGAGGATAATCGACTCGTCAGTATATTTTTTAGTACCTTAATACAATATTGTCATTTTAATGGAATTCGGCAGAGATAGAATTGCGGGGAAGAGTGAATATGGTAACATGTGAATTTAATTTCCTGAATTTTCGGAAAATCGTAAAAATTCAAGAGATAACTTGGCAGTAAATCCAATGTGCAATCAAGATGTGATACAGCGGATTTTTTTGCGTAATACTGAGGGGACGGGGGTCGAAGTTGATGTTTACGAATTGTACAATCCAGTCTCTTGTATACAAGGGGCCTACACACACTTGATTATTGACAGCTTTCCAACGGTACGGCCTTTACACTGACCTACATACTTCAAATAACGGAGTGTGAGTAAAGGCGTTATAAACGACCCAAAGGCGCAAATTATTCGACAAGTTTACGGGGGATTGCATCGAATTGTCATACGCAATGAGCAAATACCCGAAAGAAGTGCAGTTAAAAAAATTAATTAAAAAAAAAGAAAAAAAAGAAAATACTCCGGAATTTTGCTCTGATTAAATGTGGACCTTTTCCATCATTCAGAGACAGGTGCGTCACTATTTGGGACTCGAGAGTTTGTACGAAAAAAAAAATTGATTAAAATATTGAATGAAAAAGTTGGTATTTTGTGAAATCGTGAGATCGTGAGATGTGAATGAAAATGTAAAAATGATGTGTCATGCTGGGGTTCAACCTACCTGTCGATGAATCAATATGAACCTGAAACGAGAAATACTATCGTATCTTATCATGTTCGATCAGCACAACAATTGCACCGCTCATTCTCACTTTCCACTTCTAATACTCCTTACGTGCTAAGTGCACTAATGAAAGGTAAATGCTCGCTTCCGATATGCAAGGTCAAGCCGTTCTACATCAGTTATTTATTGGAGTAAGAGAAGGAATGAGAATTCCAGTCGTTAAAGCCAACTGACACCTGTCAACAAAACCGGAGAAAAAAGAGAAATTTCATCGAAAATTCTCTCACAAAAAATTCTTCAGACTATTTACGTAAATTTCCCGAGATTTACGTGAAAACTCTGACACCACTGCGATGTCAAATTATGACAAATCACGCAACAGTGAATAAAAATTTTCAAATCTGGTTGATTAAACTTTCAATTAATACCGAATGGATGGATAAAAATCGGAGTAACTGAAAAATTGTGGATTAGTCAAATAAATCACTGGAATAAAATACCTAAATGGCGATGGAAAGTTCTGGATGCAGTGAATCCCTGATAACCCCAACAATCCATCATTGGAATATGATATAGAAAGTTCTTGGCAGATAGAAATGAAGAAAATGAAGAAATAAAGCGTGCGAGATAATAACAGAGAACGGGGGATGGTACGGTAATTGGCACGTGTGGATCTTCGATACACGTGATGTTCTGGTGGATAAAATACCTTGAATATTCAAGCATCTGCTTGTGACAGGAGAAACCGGACGCGGAAGCACGTGTTCTAGACAGAATCTGTGGATAGATCTGCATAAGATCCCACCAACATCTCCACCAGCTGCACCTGCGAAAGTTCTCGTTGGATTATAATGAATCCTTCAATAACGTCTTCCGTTTTTGATCCATTAATTAATCCACCATTTTTCCATCACTATTGTATTTGATCCTCTATTTTCCAGTTTCGAAGAATTTTAATTAGAGAAAATGTACAGTTTTTTATTTTTTCTTTTCTTTTTGCTGGAGAATTTATTACACTTTCCAATGGGTGTTGGGACAAGTCTGAGTCAAGGTCTGGGTCTCACCGCGCTTTTGATGACTCTTTCAGGGTGATTGATCAAGACATTTAGTTTAGGTCGGAGAAATTTATTTTTTATATTTGTTATTATAATTAAGGAGTTATTCCTGATGGTTTTAGGTTTTAGGGTTTATAATTATTTAATGACTCGCGAATTTTTGTAGTTGTGCAGCTATTTTTCAAGATTTCTGGTCAAGTTCTAGAAATTTTTGCGAGAGATTACTGAGAATGTAAAAAAATCATTTCACAATGATGAAATACTTCGTAAGACATTGAATAATAATAAACTTGAAGACTGTATTTTTTATTATAAATTTATCAACCATTTCTCATAAATTTTTTAAGAACTTGAAAAAATGAAATAAAACATACCGGTAATAATTCCTCGAGGTGTTTCGGTCATTCTTATCGGTATATTGTTTTTATATCGGTTTATCAATAACAAAAAATGTTAATAAAATCATCGACTTTTCTCATAGCAAATGGTTTCAGCTAATGGAGGGCAGAAATCATCGGATGATTTATTTCGACATTTCCTTCAAGACCGAGACGAGACGATATTTTTCGAAAAATCGAAACACTGAATACCAATGACCGAACTTTACGTAATTATTAACGCAATTTATGGGATAATTGACAGGTGTATGACGCCACCCAGACCGAGCGAAATCGTTGATTTCTGTACTAGACAAAATGTGAAAATCTCGTTCGACTACGATTCCCACTCACAAGGAAACGCCATTTCCCATCGACAAAGCGATCCCCTAATCACTGGCTATTTCACGCTCGCTGGCCCAAAGATAATCATTACAGGTGAAAAAAAAAAACTGATGGAATTCTTACTGCGGAAGTTTATTGACACGTGCAAAAAATCCAGTCATATCCAACGAATTGCGCAAACCAGGCGCCGATATAATTTGGCGAGTGGCATTTTCCGTTTTAACGACAGCTAAACAAAGTATTCAATTATGCAACAACGAGCACACCTCATAGTTCTGAACAATGGGAAGGTCAGGTACTTGAAGAAAGTGTGAGAGTTGCGGAGATTTGACAAAGTCTAGAGCAATGAGACAAGGATTCAATCGAGAAATGAAAAATAAATAAATGGACAAGATTGCAGAGGAAAGATCCGATTAATTCTCCATTAATTCAACAAATGCCAACTTCTCGTGCCCCTCTGCCCCCCAGTGAAGATCGTGGAAACTCTCGTCCGACTCTGGACCGGAAGGAATAAGAAATATGAAACTCACTTGAGATTGTGGAGATCTGCTGGATCAAGAAAGTTTAATCGAGAGGGAAAATTTGTACTCCTGTGAGACTGAGAGAGACGAAAACACTGGAAAAAGCCCACGGGGACTTTTCATTCACCTTTTATTCTTTTTTTCTTTCCGTCTTTCTGTCTCGTTATCATGTACTTGACTGTAGCCCCAAGCTACCTCATTGTCGGTGAGTTAATTGCCGGAAATGCAGAGCACGTCAGCTTTACGAATTCATTCGGAAATTCAATTCACCCTGAACTTGCGTTGATTTGCCAATTAAAAAATGATATCAAAGTTTATTCGTCCATTCAGAATTCCTTTTTACTGTCATTCGTATCGATCCCACCTGAATCTCTTCTGAAATTAGTTCTCATCCCCACTTTCTATTTTTTTTTTTATTTTCTGTAATTAAATTTGTCAGAGTATTGACTCGCCGACTGTTTTCACTTGACCCCTCCGAGTGGTGATTACATTTCTAAAAGCCTATGACCCATGAAATTACAATGATAATTCCGTAAATTGACACGAGGCGATAAAAACACGTGAATTTATCTGCCAATAAAATCGGTGATGCCTCAAGTGTAAAAATCGTTGTGAGTAATTGTGAGTGAACGTCAGAGCTCAAAGAGATAACCGATAAAAATTCACGGGTGTCTTCACCGAGAGATCATAAAATCCCAATAAAACCTGAAACATGTGCCCACTAAAATATATCGATACATATTAATATATACAAAATGGATCGCCTGTTGGCATATTACGCTTGTCTACGCCTACGTGGAGAAAGCGCAGTCGCGTGTTCGATTATAACCCCCCGGGTATGTAACTTGTCTCTGTACATCAAATCATATTAATATATGTAACAACAAGATCTTCAGTAAAATCCAGAATTGACGTTAACCCCCGGTCATGGTAAACGAGTGAAAATAAAACTGATAAACGACAAGTGTTCGATCCCCAGAATTCCAGCGAGGAGAACACTTTCTAATGGCATATTTAATTACAATTCGTGTTAAATTACTGACAGATCAAACTCTTGTTCACATGTTTAACTCACATTTTTGATGTTTAGCATGACACAGCCGATTTGGATCCTCTACCGGTCCATGGCACTCGCTTGATCAGTTAATATTAATTACGGATGAAGAATGGATAATTCGCTTGCGGTTAAAGACGCGTAGAAAGGTGGTAGCAGGATCAATACGCTGATAAATTGATCCCGAGTTGTTCACTGAATAATTAACATGTAGATCGAGTGATATTTGCGTTGGGGAAGTTGGAAATGACGGAGTGAAGGTATTACGCGGTGAGAGGCCGGTGCTCAACTGAGGTGCACAGGAGGATTCTCACCAAGTCCTGAGACATTTGTACCCACCACCATTTAGCTCTAGGTGTACACGGGTGTGGGTTACTGTCCCCTCAATTCCCCAGTAATTGTCGGCATCTAATTACGATTACTCTTTGCTCTAACTTCTCTAGCTTTTTCAAATCATTCATGCAGTTGGTCAGAGCTCCACAAAACTTGGATTATTAAAGAAAACAAGCAATTAGATATAATAACGTTAATGAACATAGGTAATTATTACCTGGTGGTAATAATTAAACTGAGTAACTGAGTTGTTGTTGATCTACCGTTGTATTGAGAATGGGGAATAATTGCGCGCCATTCGCAGAATTTCTTTCGCCCCGAAATATATCACTCGCTGGATATTTATGGTAATTTCTCTGCAAGCATTCCATGCGGGTTTTTCACTGCAACTTTCCACATGGAAAATTCTCGATGTCGGGTAGATGAAGAACCCGTTAGAATCTAGCTCTCTAGGTCATCACTGAGTCCACAAGTGTGTCTTCTAATCGAATAAGTTGCTCTTCGGCAAATAGTGCGTCGTTGATATTTTTTTCTTTCACTCTCATCTTTACGATTGGTTCTTTCATTGGTAATGCAAAGGACTTTCAAAGAAATCGTGAGGTGAATCGTTTCCTTTCCCTGAATCATTTGCTTTCTCAATGAAGATTGATAGTGATGACAAAAATGAAAATATTGTGGGTACAATGAGGGCATGTGTTGCGAACTGTTCACGCGGACTTCCGTAGTGTTTGTTAATTTTTGCACATCGAACAAAATAAAAGTCCAACGTCACAGTTGCTTGAGAACGATGTAACATCTGAATTGAGGAAGTTATTGCAGGGTAAAAAATGACTGAGTCGTTTTATTATCACTTTCGTTTGGATGATTTCTTTTATTCAATTTCCCATGGTTTTCTTCATCGGTCGAAACTAATTGCCTAGATTTTCATTGTTTAATCGTGCAATTGTGGAAAAAATTATTCGACACTTCCGCGATTAAAACCTAGGATATATTTAGCATATTTGTGACGCAACAAATTGCCTGCGCAAAATTACCCAGTCATACCTCTCTCATTCGATCACTCAATCTCGCAATTACGCTGCGCTCACATAACAATTTACACTTTTCGTCGATTTATGGATGACACAGCGCCATCTGCGATCGATCGAAACATCGTATATCGATCGCTGATCCCCCGCCCATTTTGATGATGGCTATCATTTTGTATGAATTTAACAGTCGAATCGGTAAAGGAGATCTCTCCGTTCCATTTCTCCGGAAAGAAATTTCGTCTTGGCGATGTTTTTCTCTCATTGTCACGACTCCAATTATCTTTTAATTATTAATACCATTTTTATTCGTTCACGTTGAGACAACATTCACGTCGGTGTGACGACAATTGTCGGCAGTCAGTATTCTCGGCTCGTTTGCCATCAATTCTTTTGTTTCGTCAGGACACACCGTGATGCTGAAATAATTAAGGAAGACATCAAAATTATTAACAAGAAATGGAATAATGGCGGGAATTAAATGAATTATTTACCCAGATGCAAACTCAAGGCTGTCAATCTTTAAAGAATCGATGTAAGCCTTTGGTTTTTCGAGTAATCTCCAGGTCAAAGGATTGAAGACAGATGTCTGGTACTCCCAGGTGATTTCAACAGCTTCTGGCTTCCCCACTAGATCCCCAGGGAGTACCAGCGTATGTGATGATCCTGGCTCATAGTACTTTGATGTTTCACTCAGTGGAATCCTCTCTGACTTCTTTCCTCCCACCCCAATGACTCTGATAACGAAAATTCCAACGTCCCCACCGTGATCCACACTCTCATCAGTCTTTGATATATTTATTGCAACTTTATAATGGCCCCCTAGAAATAACCGAGCATATCAAGCTACTCCCTTCACACGTCAAAATAATCTAGAGCTTGAGAAAAAATAACTCACGACAGAAAGGCTTCTCTGATGCTGTCATCAAATACACTGATGCATGATAATTTCCAGGCTGTGCATCAAATCCAAATCTGGGACAGTACTGATTAACGCAGTCGAAGCAGTTACCATCCTGGAAATTCCTCCAGGAAGAACATGGCACCGCTAAGAACGGACACGCGGTATTGATGCTCTCGATGAAGTAATCATAACTGCGGATGTGATTGCAGCTCAAAAACCTCTTGATTCCTGTTTTTAAAAAATCATGTGGGATGGGTGAATAAACAGAGAATAAGTACCAGCGATTAAATTCAAATGTTTGTTTAGACGTGGATATTCGATTATTAGACGTTAAGTTATTAATTTTCTTGGGAATATTTATCCGTAGCATAAGAATATGTAAGTGTGAAAGGAAAAGTGTTCGCGTGGCGTGGCAACTTTGTTAAGGCTGTGTTTAGAGTTTTGGGAGTTTATTTATAATATGAGGGCAATCTTTGTCCTGCCGCATGATGATGCCCTGTCATTTCTGGGAGGAAGATTGTATTCCTTGGAAGTAAAAGTAAGTGAGAAAATTATACTTAAGAAAAAATAAAAATCCATATGTCCTTCTTCAGTAATAACAGACGTAACAACAATCACCTTTAACGAAGCTCCCCTTCTCAATGGTGATGGAATTGAGCACCCCGTGATTGCAGCCCGGCTGATTTTTCCCCCCGTTAGGGTAAAAATCAATATGACCAACGGGCTGGCCTATTCCCAATCCCCCAGTCATGAAGGGGCTGGAATCCGTGTGTATCGCCGTCACGAAATCTGCATCAGTTGGATCAAGCCTCACCATCGGCGACGTATGACTGAAATGTGGCTCCGCTGGATCTAGACCTAATCGACAAATCAATAGTTCCATTAAACTTCTTTTGCGTGCTTAATAAGAAGTTGGGGATAGGGATCCGAGTGCCACTTCTTAACCCCCGTACTCTCTTACTACAACTGTTTACCCCAGACTTGTCTTCGGGCGGGTCCAAGGGCGTGGCAGCGCTGTTGTTTGCTCCCCACGCGGTCCAGGACATCATCTATTATTCATGGGACAATCTGCCCATTCGCTTTCAAGACATCTCCATCGCTACAGAGCGCTTATCATTGGACTTCATGGAGATTGATCATAGAAAAATTGTCGACATAACACTGATACCCGGGGATTGGAAGCAATCAGCGGACAAGCGAACGAGTTGCGAGTTTGTTATTAAAAATATTATTCTGAAAGAGACAATGGAAACCGGGGCATGATCAATAGAATTCTAATGGCCCGGCGATTCCTTTTTTACCCTCATCCACATTCTGCTGCCCTGGTAGTTCTCGATGGGATCGATAGCTCGTGCGGAACCACCCTGGGTCGACTCGGTAAAGATGGTGGTAAAGTTCAGATATAATTATTGAATACTTGTCCTGCAATGCATCAGTCACATGCACCAGCCGATTTATCAACTGGGGGTGTGGCTATTGATCAACTCTATCCCCAGAACTTTTCAATTACAAACGGAACTTCCACGCCTTTGGGATGTTATCTCGTGTTGAACTTACCTGTGATCCTGCCGAGGCGATAACCGTACCGCGATCGCAGGTGATATCCTAGATATCCACAAGTATGGGCTCCAAGGCTGTGGCCAATCGCGTGAATACGTCGAGGCGGTACTCCACCCACTTCGATCAGCTGGGATGCCAGTCTTGCTGTCATTGCACCTACCAAACGGGTGTTTGCCACTGCCTGGGGATAGGGTGGCCCAGCACCACCAATCCAATTCACCACTATCACGTTGCAATCTTCCCGTAGCAGTAACTCCAGTTTCGCTCTCTGAAATTATTTCAATCGCATGATTTCGCATCAAATCGCGAGTGACTGCTTCATGAACAGATCTTTAGTCTAAGGAATTGGCGTTATGACTGATACTTTTCAAGAATTGTAATTACCAAAATCCAGGACTTGTCTCCATTATCTAGATACCCATGGATGATGAAATATGTTTTCAAGGTATTATTGAGCGGTGATGTTCTGATCGAATCGAAGTCATCAATCAGTAATTCATGGGGTGAAGGACTTCTTCGGTTGTACAGAAGGTAATGGGGATCGACACTGTCTGGACGTCCTGGAAAGCTGAAGACTGGACGATTCTCACCTGACCAAGGTGGCCCGATGTAGAAGCAACCGTACGGACGATAACATCGCCACATATACCATTCTGGAAGATAATGGTTCATCATCAACAATTGAACTGTCGATGGAACGGAGGAATCTGCCCGAAGGTAACGATTACAATTCCATATTAACATGATTTATGATTGTCTCCAGAAAATTGTACTTTTTATAATCATTCTATTTTTTTACATCCAATCATCATCGAAGGTCATAGTAATATCGTTGTGACGTGGTGTAATTTTGTTTCCAGCAATAGCTTCCGAGAAATTGCAAACACGTGCCACAGCATGTAGTCTGTCACGTGTTAAATCTGTCCGGAGGTTATCAAAGAGGATACGATAAACCCACGTTTTACTGAATCCAGTGATGTTACGTCTCCGCGATTGGAGATGAGAGATTGAGACTCCGATAATAGACTGATCATTTAGAATAATAAGTATATAAGACAGACCAGTAGTTTGTACAGGGATACAAAAATCATTTATTATCAACGCGTCTATTAAATAGCGATAAAAGACGTACCATCTCCCAATTCGAAACTGTTAGCCGCTTCTTCAGAAGACAAGGTCGTGGCATTATGAAGTTTGACCTCCACCTCGGAACTCTGGGGTTTACTGTCATTAGAAAGAGACGCCATCATTCCGGCTGTGTATGTCAGCACGAGTAGTGTGTCGTTGAAGATCATCTTGGATTTAATTAATTCTCTTTCTCCTAAAGTATCACAATCTAACCGATTAATCACAGTTCAGTTGCACTCCTCTATTGGCATCTACTTCACATTTACATTGTCACTTTGTAAACGATTACAAAGAGCCCCTCACTCTCTCGTACCGCTCCTCAGACTAAATCCAGTCCATTAACGATAGTTGATTAAGCCACAGCGATAGCAATGAAAACGGAAAAACCGATTGACGCAAATGTCTGGCGAGAGTCGTGATAAACTCGTTGATATTTCTAGACCGTCAACAAACGATACGTCAGACTGATGACAAATAGAATGAGTTCAAAGACTCAAATCAAATCAATGGCTCTTTTCCCCTCGACCAGCCATCAGCAACTGCTCAACATCCACAAAAAATCCAGTAACAAAACCGGCTCGTCAGCCATCCCTTCCATCATCAAGTCAACATCTTTGAACTACATTGACGTTGAAGTAAGCACAGATAAGTCGCTGTGATAATTACGAGAGGGTCAGTCGATGAATTATCAAGTCTCAGACGAATATGCGACAGGCGTCTTGAAGATGAGAGCGTCGGAGAATATCAAAGACATAGCCAACAGACTTTTTTTTACAGATACCCCTGACTTCCCAGAAATCTGTGAACATCTTTGCCGTCGGCTGTCTCTTCTAATGATCGCGTGTCTGAGCCCATTCAACTCGTTCTCATTTTTTGTCCCAGACAACTGGAGCAATTAGCCAGCTCTCGAAAAGAACGGTTTATTGCACAGCAGTTGTATCGAGCTGGGCGTTCATTTGGTGGGTTTTGGGCGTCAGATGTTGGGGCTTCGAGGGTCTCTGTGTACACAATAGGCTTCGACGGGTGGTAAAAGCCTTTGTAATCCCCTCTTTCATCTACACATACCCCCAGTAGTCCACCCCTGCTGCTGTAATCACCTCCACGACGTCTATGATGTCCTAGTACATTGCACCCCCAAATGATTTCTTTGCTCAGTTTGAGAGATATAGAAATAAAACAGCCCCTCGGCTGTTGCCAGTCGAAACACAAAAAAAAAACGAATACTCGAATGAATCCTAGCCACCGTCAACATCCCCTCAGACAATCTCCTCAATACTTCTGGATCCTTGGTAGGTGTTACGTCTTTGTGTTGTTTCGTGGTTACTACAGGGACATAAGTACGGATATACTCACGTGTATTCCATCCCCTCGATACAGTGCATTACAAATGTGTATAACATTGGTGGAAGGAAAACGGCAGTGGGACTTGGGAGAATGGGCAAGAGTATGAGTGAAACGTGGAAGAAGCAGGGGAAACTGGTTCCCCTTGGGTGTCACTGACTCCTGAATACTTCAAGGCTCTTTCCGTGTATTATACTTGCTCGTTCCTTCAATAAAGGGGGTAAACCCGTTGTTGTTTTACTTGTCCATACGTGTGGTGCTGGGGCCTGGTGCAAGACCCTCGAGGTCCCTCTTGTGTCCACATGATTCCCTGTTACAACGCCCTATCGAATCCCCATTCATTTACATGATACCAGTTCAATGGACACCCTTTGTGCCTTAGGGTAAGTGATCTTGCCTCGGTGGCTGATCCTAGCCTAGGGATTATCCTGACTTTCAGCGAGTCCCGCGAAAAAATTCCACTACCTCGCGAGCGTTTCTCTTTCGACCTGGAAAACACAACTTGGTCGGTTTTAAAAAGAGAAAATCACACCTCTGTCATCCTCAATCCCTTAAAATCTCGGTGGACTAGATTCACCAGATATTTCCTCATCAACCAGATGGAAAACGGGGGAAAATGAGATCGCACTGGCACTGTAGTGCGTAACCTTCCCTCCTTTCACTTGCTCGGCGATGGTCGACAGTGAGAAAAATATCAGTTGGAAAAAAAAATATATCATGAGAAAATATAAAGAGAATTCTTCATATAGACTTAAACATCGGGCGACCCATTGAAAACAATGCACCTCAATATATATAATTCATCCAAAGGTCGGCAAGTATTTTTTGTTACTTCCACAGAAAAATTGAACCGACTTGTAACAATTGTTGTGTTGAATCCTTTATTTTTGTCGTGAAGAAAAATACAAATGATTTTATGTGAAATATAATAAAAATTCCAATACCTTTAATCTTGTATTGCATTTGGATAGTTGTAATATTTTTTGTGTATTTATCAGTTGAATGAGGCGAACATCCGAATTATTCCTCATACAGATACCGAGAGAACCAGATGCCCTTTACTCGCACCAGCTCCATGAATTCCTGATCCAGTCGACGACACGTGGACGTCTGGAGCCTTAACCCCTTGGCAATTGCTCTCCAGTCTCGCCACGTTACATGTCAGACATCAGCATTTTTTTTTACTCATTCACCGCTACACGACATCTTGAGCAATTTTTTCCCACATTTTTCTGCTTTCCTGTTTTCTTTGGCTCCTCTTCGTTTTTCTGGGTGTAGTTGCGCGTTGCTCAGGCAATCCCAAAGGTATTTCGATGTGAATGTGTTGTGAATGATCGCGTGGTTGGGTTTATGACAAAATGCTGTTGGAAAAAAAAAACTTGTACAAAACAAACTTGATTTTTTCACCAGGGGAATATGAGTACGAGGGAGGAATGCCAGTGTTGCGTGCACGTGCGCAGATTTTCCTGCGTTTACGTCTATTTCGTGATGGAAGGGACACAAACCTAAAAGGAAGACGAATCTTCCTGGAAGGTTCCCACAAGGTCCTGACAATTTTATGATTTGTCATGCAAAAATACGCGGCACCGTTGGCTGCCGAAAAAATTACGATTTCAGATTGAAAAAAAAAGCGCGCAAATGCCACGTCCTCTAAAAATCCAGGTAAAATCTTTCTGTCTGAAGATTATTGTAATAAATTGTAAGAAAATAAGAGAAAAAAACGATGGAAAACGAAAGACAACAATACCTGAAGATTTCACAGGGTCGCGGGGTTCAGGGTGCAGGCATCTTACCCAGGAAGACGCCTGCAGGCTTGCAGCCCATTTTAAAAATAAAAAACCCATGAAAGACTGCGGCAGAAGGGCCGACCACGTATATCCCCACACGTTGAAGAAAGAAAAATCACGTCAGTGGGCAGTCCCTAAACTACCAACACGTATTTATGATATCCTGTTGACGATGCCCTTTTCAACAAGTCCCTCGAGGGCCGAAGTGCGTTCACGCATTCACGTGTTAACATCTAATGATTTATCAATTGGACCATTGAAGCACGCGAGACACTTTTGCCGGTGATACTGGTGACCCATTAAACTTTGGGCGTCATACGCAAAAGGGAAATACCACGGTGACAACTATCCGGGTATTATATAGTTGTAATAGGTATACGTGTCGCGTGTACACGCTTCATGGCGCCCGTGGGCGGATCATGGGACTATTATTCCAGCAACTATTTTTCCTCTAATGGAAAATGCCAAGAGAGCTGAAACCGCGCATTCGCAAACGATCCGTTAACTGTTACTCATTATTTCTGCGAATTCTTGATGACTCTTGATGATTTTTTATGATGCCTTTATGAATGATGTCATTGCGGAATCATCCGACACCTTGAGACCGCCCTCGAGGATAAACACCCATCAGCAGCTGGGGATTTTTCGAGTGGAGCAATTGAACTGTTTTATTTATCTCTCGCTGGCAAAAATCTGGAGATAGGGAGAAGACGAGTAATCCTCGGTATGTGTTCCTATTATACTTTCATCCTGCCTTAACTTTCACTTTCCCTCGCCCTTGGAATAAGATCCTTCGATTGGATGCCTCTCAGCCCCTCAAACTCCACCCTTCTGTAACCCTTGAAAATCCACCAGTCGTTCCCTCGATTGCTTACCACTGGAGAATGAGCTGTCCATTCACGTTAATTCTGGGTGTAACTTGTAAGGGCGTCTTGGGCCAAAAGGACCTGTCCCTTTGTCATGATATCCTAGTAAAAGTGCGTAGGTGTATGCCCTTTAGGGTCGTACGGTCCCGAGGGAAGACCCTTCAACGACTCCATTAAACAGCTGTTAAATTCCTGGGATCATTCATGGTATCCTGTTGGTGTAGTTTATCTTTAAACCAAATGTTGCTTTTGTTCTCGTCGTCTAGGTGGAATTTTCTAGTGATATCTAACCACTGACGAACCCTCTGGGACATTTCTAATTGCTGAAAGGGTCCAACCAATTAGGCGATCATCTGGCAATGGAGCTTACTGTCCCGATGATCTGTCTGTCGTTCCTCTCTTTCTCCAGGGTTACCTACCCGCCGCCCTTTTTCTTCCAGAATATCAACGGAGAACCGTGGGAACGGGCCTCGACTTGTTTTGTAATGTCTGGAAACTAAAAACCAGGAAACCATGGCGTCCTCTGGGGTATCCTCTGGACAGCACCGCCCTTTTTCCTTCGGGGGAGAGTCTCCAGGTTCACGATATCGCCGGTTTCGCCTGTGGAAATTCCCACGAGCTTTCAGACGCATCGCCATTGGGCGAATGGGAATTAAATGAGAAGCCATAAAACCACGGTTTACTGCGAGGGGACCGAAGACAAATCGCTTGGACGTCAGAGCTATCAGGAAACTATAATGCCTACAGGTGATTGAGTTTCTTCAATTCTGCGTATAACTTGAGTAGAGAAATTATTCATAGAAATTAATTAAAAACTCCACAGGAAAATGATTAATAAATTATTAACATTTCAAATTTAAAAAACTGGAAATTTTTAACAATGACAAAGGGCCATGAAATTTCAATAGAATTCTTAATTACTGAATCAGTTAATTTATTGAATATTCTAATTGTAATTGTAATTGTGTTCTGTATTTAAAATTGAATTACCATTTATAATTCAATAGAAATAGACAATAGAAATTCAGTGATCGTCTTTAATTGGAATTGAAATCAAAATTATATAATAGTAAATTCACACAACTTTTTTTTTTCTGCGCATTTTAACGAACGAGATTTACTCTGCCATTCAGATGACTTTGTGAATGAAAGTCGCTGGTATGTATTTGGGTCAAGCCTATTTACGTCGTAATTCAATAATTTTTCTCAGGGTAATTAGAGGAATCTGTTTTTTTTTCTGAAGAATTCAATCTCAAGCGGGCGTTCCAGAGGCTCAAAAATCCCTGAAAATTATCGTATATATAAATTATTATTATTACCCATGATTACAAGAAAGCCCTGATAATTTCTGGAATCTGCTTTCACGTAGGACAATTAGAATCCCGTAGATACAAGTAGTACTAGGATACCATGTGTTTCCTTCGGACTGTATCATAAACTCGATAGCTTCCTGATCTCCTGAAGGCAGAGATAGTGCGTCACCACGATACCGATTCAACTTTCCGTATCCGTACATACCACAATGATATCCAACTGTCTGACCCAG